GGGGGGGCTGGGCGCCAGGACACCTGGGTTCGCGCCCCGGCGTTGCAAGGGGAGGGGGGGCTGGAGGGTTAGAGCAGGGGGGGCTGGGAGCCAGGACTCCTGGGTTCTCTCCCCTGCTCTGGGAGAAGACTGGGGTCTAGTGGGTTAGAGCAGGAGGGGCTGGTGCCAGGACTCCTGGGTTCTCTCTGCATCTACCTCAAACTACTCCCCCCTCCCAAAAAACCCTACAGATCATGCTGGCCTGGCTCATTCTCCCTCCCCCCCCGCCGCCCCCACCTGTGCCCTGCTCCCCCCACCCGCAGCGGCAGGGGACAATCTGCAGCCCCGCTTTGCTGCGTCAGGGGTGATAGGAGGGGTGGGGGGCGGGCGCTGGCCGGGGGAAGGGAGGCTGTTTATGGCAGAAGCAAGCGGGTGTGTGTGCTTGAGAGGAGACCGGCAGAGGAGAAGGCAATGCCAGGGTTGTGCTGCCCCCTGCTGGTCACACGGGAAAAGGCACCGACAGGGTAACAGACTTCATGCCTGTGGGACTGAGATGCAGCCGCCTCTGGGGAGGGGCAGCTGGGAACAGCTGCACATAACGCCCTGCAGGGATGGCGTGCCTGGTGCTGAGATGTAGCCCCCTCTGGGGAGGGCAGGCTGTGCACTACCCCCAGTTCTTATGTTCGGTCATATGGGGTGGGATCCTGATCTCATTCGGGGTGTACCCGAAATCTCTCTGCAGCACCCAGCCCATCGGGGGGCCCCCAATCAAGGAATCCCCCACCTCTGGGGGGGCGGGGAGGAGAACAGAGTTCTGGGAAAGGGGCAGGGTCACTGATTCCCCGCCCCTCCATATGGGGGGGGGGTCATACACACCTATGGTTCAAATGAGCAGCTAATCATAGGGCCTGGGGGGCGGGACAAAGATGGATTTAGGGATTAGAGATGTCAATCAATAGAAGGCCAATGATTGACATGGGGAGCGCCCCCTGCCCCATCCCCCGCAGCACGGAGCCCCCCACAGCATGGCCCTGCCGGCCAGGGGAGAGAGTCCTCCACCCAGCCCCTCACCTGCAGCGGGGCACCCCGCAGCACCAAGGCTCCCTGTTTCTCCCAGGGGTGGTGTGGACTCGTGGGGAAGGGCTGGGACTCAGGCTCCTATCCCCAGCTCTGCCCCTCGTGCCTCAATTTCCCCTCGCGCCCCTTGTCAGCACCCACGGGAAGCCCATCTGGGGATCTGCGTGACCCCGATTGACCAACATACAGTCTCCCCTGAAAGCTCGCCCCCTGTCCCCCGCTTTTCCAACCCAGAGCCAAGGCCCTGGGGGCCATGAACCCCACAACTCAGAGATCACCCTGAAAACAGCTGGCAGGTAGCAAAGAACACCCCGCACCCCCCGCACCCACTTTCCAGGAACCCGGGGTGAAGGCCTAGCGGAACCACCCGATCTCGCCACAGGGACCCCAGCCCCCTCAAACCTGACCCTACTACACCCCGTTCTTAGGGCTTCCACACAGGCCCCCACCCCGACCCCCAATCCTCTCTCATGCCCCCCAACTCTGACCCCCAAACCCATTCCTTATGGCACCCCCAACCCTGCCCCAAATCCCCCATCCATCACGCCTGAACCCCAACTCTGACCTGCTCCCCAGCAGGTCCCCACGACCACCAGCCCCCCCCAACACTGACCCCCATCCCCACCCTGACCTGCTCCCCCAACTTATCCCAGAAGGGCTGGGAAGGAGATCAGGCTGCTCCCCCCCGGGACAGGGGTGCCCCACATCCCCCCCCGTGCCCGACTTACCCACGGCCCGGAACAAACAAGCCCCATCCTCCTTCATCTGCTTGATGATGAAACCTTTCTTCTCCCGCAGCGACTTCTCAAACCTGTTCTCCTGCTGGAGACAAGAGAACGCCCGTCAGCAAGTTACCACGGCGCTGC